CTACAAATTTCCCAGCCAATCGTGTGCTCGCGCTTGTTCACTCTGAACAGCACGGCTGCGTTATGGAACTGCCCTGGTTCCCATCACTCTCACAGATTCAAACTTGGTGCGCTAGGTCCTTCAGAGGTTCGGTCTTCAGTTCTCCTCCATACAGAGGCTAACAACCCCTTAGAAAAAATCGAGGGTCCCTTGGTTTCAAGTTGGACCCGCCTTCACTATTTTAGCCCCTCGCTTTAAGTCTGCAGCTCTGAGTGTCGCTCAATTCCCATCAGTACAGACTGCGACAGTATTCGCTCCTATAACGAGATATAAATCCAACCGTTCGCAACGGACTTGGGGGAAAATCACGAACGGTACCGATTCAGCCTGGAAAGTGCAAGTCCACCTCCGGTTGGTGGACAGCTTGAATCCGGTTACACGGCGAATATCAGTAGCTGCAGCAGTAAAATTCTCCCCCCTACCTATACTGTATGTTTTTTTCTGCTCCTTCACCCTCCCGCTTTTCTGTGTTCTTTTCCCGCAACACCTGCCAGGTGTTTTTACAGGCAATTGTCCTGGTGATGTCCTCCCTCCGTTGTTTGATGCCTGCCACCCCACCTGGGGTTATTGTTGTGTAGCAGCCAAAACGAACCCCTCCCAGGCCTCTCGATTAGTTTTGAGGCACTCCATGCAATCAGTCTCCAGGGTCTACCAGCAGGACTCGAGGAGGAACCTAGGCGCCAGGAAGTGTGCAGTGGTCGGAGAGGCAACAGGTTGATCTAGAGGCACTGGGTTGAGTTTTGATAGAGCAGCAGGTTGGAAAGCGCGAAACAGGACACGTCAGTGAAGATAGCCATTTTAATCTGAGTAGCTTATGGTTTTGGTCTGAGCAACTTACTCTGGAAACTAATATACCAGTTCCCACCTCTCCCCAAACCAATGCCCCCTCTTCAACCATTCACCTTGCCTGATTCGCCATCCAAATTCGCTAGCTGCGAGGAGACCAGAGAAACTCGAGTCGCCTTTCGGTTGCATTGCGCTGCGATGCGAGCCGGCGTCCCAGAATAACCTGCTCATATACATGCGCGCACTTCTAGCTGCACCAGGCCTCTTGCTAAAAGAGTAATTGCCCTTAATGTCGAGAAATTAAGAGTTGTTCTCCACTGGATTCCGTTTTTTGACGAATTAAAATCTCCTGATTCCGTCCCCATAAAGGGCTGGATTCCATGTGATTCCTTAACATTACGAGCTTCTTTCTTTTGATTCCGTTCTCACTGTATTTAACACCCGCTTCCCCCCACTACTCCCCTCCAGTTCCCGGCCAAGAGTGCACTATCTTTCCACCTGCTGTTTTGTAGACAGACGAGCAGAATTTTTCCCACTCTCCCGATCCTCTAAAGCACAGCATACCTTGAATCTTACCTCGCCTCTTTCTGAGCCGTGGCGAAGGTTCTCAGTCTGTGAGGACGGTAGTATAGCACGAAGGGTAGCTCGTCAGCGAATCCGTATGCTAACGGGTACTTCTCTGTAGATTCCGTCCGTTAACGGGTAATTCTGGGTCGATTCCGTCCCCTAACGGAATCCCCTAGGGCTTAGCGAGAGGCCTGAGCTGCACCAACACTTGCGCCAAATCCCGCCTGAACTTCCGCTGCGTTGTCTGCTGCACAAGCCCCCACCGCCAATTGCCGGCATCCATCCCACCACATTCCACACAGAAATCAACGTCCAGAAGGTGTTCCCTTCCCTCCCTTCCCATAGAATTGGCCGTCCAACAATCGTCTCAGCAGAAAGAATGGCTGCGATTTTTTACTGTAACTGTCGCAGTTACGGAAGAGCGTACAGTTTGCTTTGCGACACACAGCATTGCCCTTCCGCCAATTGCTCCTCCGTTCACGACTCGTCTAGTTTCGCCCGTCGCGCGGGCAGCTGGAGCTGGGTGGGTAGGTTAGGACCAGGTGGGCGGGCGCTATACCACCTGGACTGGCTTGCATCTGAACGAATCAGAGAGACGCAAAGCAGTGACTGTACTCCAGTCTAACGCCTAGTGCCGCTTCAGAGTATCCACGCCCGACTTCTCCCGCAGCGTCGTTCACTTGCTCCCGGCTCCGCCTCCACGGTAAATCCTTCTACAAAAAGCTGTAAGATTTACTTCGCTGAAGTAGAGTCCAATCATCAACCTGAGAAGAATCGGAAGCAGTTTGAAACTAACGTCTTGAGCTTTCGCTGGCTAGGATCAGCGGAGCGAGGACCTGCGGGTTAGTAGTCGACTCAAAAGCGCTCGCTGGCGAGAATCTGCGGGGCGATCAGCAGCAGCAGCCGCAGCAGCAGCAGCAGCAGCAGCAGCAGCAGCAGCAGCAGCAGCAGCAGCAGCAGCAGCAGCACAGCAGCAGCAGCAGCAGCAGCAGCACAGCAGCAGCAGCAGCAGCAGCAGCAGCAGCACAGCAGCAGCAGCAGCAGCAGCAGCAGCAGCAGCAGCAGCACAGCAGCAGCAGCAGCAGAGCAGCAGCGCGGCGGCGGCGGCGGCCGGCGGCGGCGGCGGCGGCGGCGGCGGCAGCAGCAGCAGCAGCAGCACAGCAGCAGCAGAAGCAGAGCATGATGGCACCCCTTCTCCCCTTCCTGCTCCTCCTCTCCTCCCTCGCACCACCGACGCTCGACTCACCGTCGACGCGCTCCTCCGCGTCGCCTCTCGCCCAGCCGCGCGGGCCCTTCAAGTGCAGACGTGCACGGGGATAACGCAGCCCTGCCCGGCGGCGTCGGCTGCGTCGAGAACGCGCGCTTCTGCGACGGCGCGCCCGACTGCCCGGACGGCAGCGACGAGGACAGCAACTACTGCGCGATGATGTTTCCACCGGACTACGACTACGGGCCGCAGTGCAACCCCGAGCAGCAGCAGATGACGTGCCCGGGCGGCGGGCAGTGCGTGGACGAGGCGCGCGTGTGCGACGGGAAGGCGGATTGCGCCGACGGCAGCGACGAGAAGGCCAGCTACTGCTACGACTTTTATTGCGACAACTTTGGGAGGGTGCGTGCTAGTGGTGGTACTACCGTTGCTGGTACTCATACAAGTGCCAGTGGGTAGTATTGCAACAGCGACGAGGCGCCCAGCTACTGCTACGACTTCTACCGCGACACTATCGGGAGGGTGGGTGCTGGTATAGCTACTTCCACAGCAACTATGGTGCTACCAGTGCTGCAATGTGTGAGACGCCCATCGCTCACCCTGTTCTCAGAGTCTCAGAGTCTCACAGTCTCAGAGTCTCAGAGTCTCGAAGGCGTTATAATTTTGCCCCTTAACTGCTTCGTCCCAAAATACCAGGATCAGAAATACGGAGTAGGTACACAGTAGGTACGGCATAGGTACGTCTGCTACGGAGTAGCCTTGCTATACGAACAACTATACCTACAATATAGGAGAGATCCACATTTTTGTGACGTTTTTCCGAGTGGCACTGTGCGTGTTTCTGTGCAACAATTCCGTCCCCATTTCCTCGCTCGCCGCCGAACCTTGTCCTTTCGCCACCTTCCATTCTTCTCCCCCTCGCTTCCGCCCTCACATCCCCATCATCTCCCCCTCACTCGCTCGGCCAATGCCCTTCCATGACTGTCTGCATGCCCCTAGGCGGCGGGGGCGACTGCGCGTGATGGCAGCGACGAAAGGAGACGCTTCTGATTGGACGCACCACTTTTCTCTCCCCCTTACATCTTCACCAGGCGCAACGCCCCTCGACCGCGAGTGGGTCGCGCGACTGTTGAGTCGACTCTCTCTCCCTCTTCCCCCCCACCTCCCCCTTCTCTCCCCCGTAACGTCTCCACCAGGCGCAATTCCCCTCTAAGACCGGCTTGCATGCCCCTCTGCGGCGAGTGCGACAGCATTAGTATTGAATCGACTCTCTCTCCCCCCAACCCCCCCACCCCCTCCCTCCCTCTTCTCTCCTTGATTCTTCCCCACCAGGTGCAATGCCCCTCTAAGATGGGCTGCATGCCGCCTGGCGGTGAGTGCGACGGCGTGAAGCACTGCGCGGACGGCAGTGACGAGGGGAGCCAATGCCCCGGGTATCAAGACCCATCGACGACTGGAGGCAGCTCGACGACTGGAGGCGGCTCGACGTCTGGAGGCGGCTCGACGTCTGGAGGCGGCTCGACGTCTGGAGGCGGCTCGACGTCTGGGGGCGGCTCGACGTCTGGGGGGGGGACTGTTGTGCTGAGTCCGGAGGAAATGGCGAGGCAGAAGAGGGAAGCAGCCGCAAGGCGGGCGGCTGCTATTGCTGCTAAGAAGGCGGCTCTGGAGGCAAAGCGGAAGAAGCAGGAGGAGAAAGCGGCGGCAATTGCTGAGAAGAAGCGGAAGCAGGAGGAAAAAGCGGCGGCCATTGCGGAGAAGAAGAGGCTCCAGGAGGCGAAGGCTGCTGCTATTGCTGAGAAGAAGCGGAAGCAGGCAGAAAAGGCGGCCGCGATTGAAGCTAAGAAGAGGAAGCAGGCTGAGAAGGCAGCTGCGATAGTGGCTAAGAGGAGGAGAGAGGCCGCAAGGGCAGAAGCTGTGAGCAACTAGAGAGGAACAGCCACCCACAAGAAGCAACCTTCACATGAGCAACTCATGTGCTCCAATCATACCCGTAATCCCCCGTATATAACACCCCGGGTGCAGTACAAAATTCAGGAAAAAAATAGGGGGTGTGTGCTCTATTTTGCGTTTAAGCTATAGCACCCTAGTGTTATATTTGAGGATGATTTATTAAAGATGTGCTTTCTGTTGAGAAGGCTAGGACGCCATGGAATGGCAAGAGGTTTAGCTAGGGGGCAGAAAGTATTGAGAGAAGAGGGGGAGACTAGGAAAGAGAAGAAGTTACAAGAAGGGGGGGGGTTTCCCCTTCACAGTATGATCCAGTAACACCTACCAAGCCTACAACTATGTAAAGAATATAATTTAACACATTCGACTCAACATGTCTTCGCGATTTCAACCATGCAAATTTCGACTCAAGAGGCGTATGGTTGTTCGTGAGATAATACTAGACTAATTGAAACAAGGGAGATATAGGATTGGTGTTCAACCCCCTAAGAACACAACCCTATCTAGCCTATAACTTTTACATAAAACATATGTATCACTTGACACACCCCCTAGGCTAGATAAGGGGCAGTGCTGAGCAGGAAACGCGCAGCTCAAGGTGGCACTACTAGTCCAACCTCTGAGGCAGGGGTCCGAAGTGTTAACGTAGAAACGAATGATTACTAGAGGTGGAAACCTAGAACAAATACTAGTTGGTTGTACTCACTAGAAGCATACCTCAGTCTAGCCTATAACTTCTACATAGATAATATGTATAAGTTGACACACCCCCTAGGCTAGACAAGGGGTGAAACTAAACAAGAAGCAAACAGCTCAGGGCGGCACTACTAGTCCAACCACTGAGGCAGGGGTCTGGAGACCAGTCAGCAAGAATACAACCAAAACTGAAGCAAGCCAGGGTGGCACTACTAGTCCAGCCACTGGAGGTAAGGCCACAAGGCCAGTCTGACAAGCATATATAATAGAGAGTACACAATCAGGATCCTAACAGGGGAGCAGCTATAGGAACAAGACCAAGCTGTACACAGTGCCGCTGATGATCTTTAGGCGCAAGCGCCTTAGTAAAGATATCAGCTGTGTTGGCACCTGAGGCCAAGTGAACTACGCGGGCCTGGCGGCGCTGCTGTAGCTCGCGCAGGAGGAAGTACCGCAGCTGGATATGCTTCGCTCTGCCCTCAAGCCGAGGCTCCTGACACAGGAGTATCATGGCCCTGTTGTCAGCGTACAGGACCGGGGCAGAGCTAGGCCGCTCACCTAAGTCTGTGAGCAAGAAGGTCAGCCAGCGGAGCTCCTGTGCCGCCATGGCACCAGCGTAGATCTCAGCCTCACAGCTAGACTGAGCCACAGACGACGAGCGAGTGGATCTCCAAGAGATAGCACCCGAACCAAGGCTGAAACAGTAGCCCTGCGACGACCTGAGCGTCTCAGCGTCGTCTGCCCAAGAAGCGTCTGTGTGCCCAGTAAGGACCACTGGCCTGCGTCCTCCTAGCACTAACCCCATGCCTGATGTACTAGCAAGATAACGCAAAACCCTCTTAGCGGCAGACCAGTGCTGAGGTCGGTGTCTGCCTGTAGCCACAAAGCGAGCCAGGATGCTGAGAGGGTATGCGAGATCTGGGCGAGTGCAAGTCATCAGGTACATGAGGCAACCCACCAGCTCTGCGTAGGGGCCACTGGGCTCTACTGGCTCCTCAGGAACGGGAGCAGAGAGCCCATGGTCTACGGGTAGAGGTGTGGGCTGTGCGGAGGAGAACTGAAGACCGAACCTCTGAAGGACCTGACGCACCAAGTGTGACTGGGTCAGAGTGATGGTGCGTGCTGCTCTGTCCCTAGAGATCTGCAGGCCAAGATAGCGACGCAGCTCTCCAAGGTCAGTGCAGGTGTGTCTCTTCAGCAGCTCAGCCTTCACAGAGGCCAGTGAGTCCCTGTCAGGAGTAGCGAAGACCAGGTCGTCTACGTAGACAAGGATGTAGAACGGAGTCTGGCCGGAACGCACAAACAGTGAAGGGTCAGCAGAGGACGGAAAGAACTGCAGGTCTGCTAACGTGGCACGTAGCGTGTCGTGCCACTCGCGGGGAGCCTGACGCAGGCCGTAGACCGGGCGCCTGAGAAGCCACTGGGTCCCAGGAGGGAAGGTACCAGTGAAGCCCTGTGGTCGGCGCAGGTAGACCTGCTCGTGTAGGCTGCCCTGAAGAAAGGCAGTAGAGAAGTCGAGGGAGTGAAGCTCGTAGTCACGCTGTGCTGCTACGTGTAGCAGCGCCCGAAGAGTGGTCATCTTCGGGGTCGGGGCGAAGGTCTGGAAGAAGTCAACCCCCTCGCGCTGACTGAAACCTCTGGCCACGTAGCGCGCCTTGAAGACAGGCGGCTCTCCAGGGGGGCGCTTCACCTTGAAGAGCCACCGACCATCGACTACGTTCACCCCAGGCGGGGGAACTGCGTCGACGTAAGTGCCGGTGGATCTCCAAGATGCCATCTCCTGCTCCATGGCAGCTATCCACTGAGAGGCCCAAGGTCCCGAGGTGGCCTCAGCGTAGGTGCGAGGGGTCGGGATGTCGAAGGCGTCTGGGTCACCCTCAGGGACTAACAGCATGGAGCAGAGATGGGGAGCAGCCTCGGAAAGGAAAGCCAGCTCGTACTGCCTGTCCTCTAGGACGTCACTGCCAAGGGCAGGAGCACCCCCGACGGACAGAGGACGGGCAGGGTCAGAGACCAGAGCGGTAGCGTAGTCAAGGCGGCGGGTAGAAGCGAAGTCAGCGACAGCAGCGACAAGCGCGTCAAGGCGCGAGACAGGAACAGCAGGGTCGGTAACAAGAGAGGCAAGGACCCGAGGGACAAGGGGACGAGCAGCACGGAGGTAGTCAGAGAACGGAGGAGGTGCAACAGCAAGGGACGAGGGAGGAGGGGACGGGAGGAGGGGAGGACGAGACGAGTGGGAACGGAGCAACATAGGGTGGGTGGGCAGGACAGGAGAGACGGGACGAGCACGGGAGGGACGGCGAGCCCAAACGTGAGACGGAGGGGTAGGGTCAGGGGACAGCGGAGGAGACACAGGAGGGGAACGAGGAGGAAGACGGGCCGGAGACGAGTCTGGCGGCGGGAACACAGGACCGTAGACAGGGAGGTCAGGAGGCGGTGGGGGAGACACCGGCGCGCGGTCCGGGGAGGGAAGGCCGAGCAGGCGGAGAGCGGAAACCGGCGGCGACGGCTGCTGCGGCGGCGACGACGGCTGGGCCGGAACTCTCGGACCAGCAGAGGCAGAACGACCGTCGGCAGAACACTCAACAGCAGCACCCCCAGAACCAACACCCCTAGAGCGAGAACCCCCTCCAACACCAGCGGCACCCCCAGAAGCCGCAGGACGAACACCCTCCTCCACACCAGCACCCCCAGGGGCCGAGAGCAGCGGCGGCAGTGGCGGCAACGGCTGCGGCGGCGGCGACAGCGGCGACGGCTGCGGCAGCGACAGCGGCGGCGGCGGCGACGACAGCGGCGACGGCTGCGGCGGCGACGGCGACGGCGGCGGCAGCGGGGTCGGCGACTGCGACAGTGGGGGCGGAGGCACCGGGGAAGGGGGACGCGGCAAGGACGGACCGGGGGTACCACCAGAGTCAGCAGACTCCTCAACGGGGACAACCGACGGGAGGGGAGTGACGTGGGAGACACCAGACGGGGCAGGACGAGGCGGGAGAGGGGCAGGGGCTACCGGGGGAGAGGGAGCAAGGAAAAGGGGGGGGCAACTGGGAGACCTCGGTGAGGGAAGCGGCGGTAGAAGGAGACGGACTCGTCAAAGGTGACGTCACGAGAGTGGAGGAAGCGGTGAGACGGCGGGTGGTAGAAAAGCCAGTCAGACGAGTCCAGGGGGAAACCGAGGAAGACACAGGGGACAGTGCGGGCAGTGAGCTTGTCCGTGCCAGAGGCACGAACGTGAGCAAGGCAGCCCCAGACGTGGAACGCAGACGCGTCACCGGGGGACCCGGTCCAAAGGAGGGTCGGCGAAACCTGCGGCCGCTGGGAGCGTGGCCACAGGTTAAGCTGGTGAGCCGCGTAGCGAACAGCGAACGGCCACAGAAAATGGGGGGCATCGGCATGGATCATGGAGGTACGGGCGACCTCCATGACCAAGCCGATGCGGCGCTCAGCAACCCCATTCTGCTGTGGCGAGTCCGGCAACGTGTACGACTGGGTGATGCCCTCCGCACGACAGAACTGTCCAAGCCGACCAGAGGCGAACTCGCCGCCACGGTCGGAGTGGAGACACAACACGGGGAGACCGCGGTGGAGACGCGCAGCCACAACCCACGGGAGAAGAACGTCGGGCACGTCGGCCTTCCGCTCCAGGGGAAACACCGTGGTGTAGCGCGTGTAGTCGTCGACAAGCACAAGGAAGTAGCGCTCACCGCGCGGTCCGGGGACGGGGGCAGGGCCCCAAACGTCCAAGTGCAGGGTCTGAAGGGGGGCAGTAGCAGGACGCAGCGAGGAGGAGTGAGGAGCACGGCGGAGCCGACCCTCGACGCAAGGCGTGCACGGTGGCGCAGTCGAGGGAGGAAGGGCAGGGAGCGACGCGGGGAGACCTAAGACAAGACCGTGCTGGGACATGTGACGCAGACGCGGGAGAGCAGGGTGACCTAAGCGGTGGTGCCAGAGAAGGGAGGGGTGAGTGAGGGACCGACACGAGCAAGCTGCAGCGACCTGGGAGGACGCACCAACCGGGGGGGAAGCGGTGTGTAGGGTAAACAGACCGGACACCGGGTCCCGGGGGAACGTCGCAAGGGGGGAACCTGAGACAGCCTCAGAACAGACAGCGAACCGCTCGTGCCCGGGGAACGTGGTGGTGACGCCGAGGTCCTGGAGACAGCCGACACCAACCAGGTTCCTGGAGAACGAGGGAACGTGGAGGCCAGTAAGGGAGCCCGAGGGAACTGCCGGACAGGGAAGGGACGTAGAACTGCGCGCGACGACCGGACCCGCAGAGGGGTCAGCGAGAGAGACAACAGCAGGTGCAGCAAGCGGCGTGAGCGTGGAACGGTCGCGGAAGAAGCAGGCAGAAGCACCAGAGTCGAGAGTGAAGGACAGCGACGCAGTGGCGGGGGCCGGGGACGGAGCCGGTGCAGCGACTAGACTAGGCAACCTAGGCAGTCCTACGCCTGTCGCAGCAGGGGAAGCTAAGCTACACAAGGGTGAAACACCTAAACTAGAGTACA